AGTGAAATCAAAGGTGATTACAAGTTGTTATAAATATTTCATTTGTCATATTCAGTGCCGAAGAGGCCTTTCGCTTAATTCCAGGGCTCAACAGGCCGACTGAGATACAGCAGACATATTTATGGCGTTAGGCACTAGACATATCATCAGTTTTTTTTAAACAACAACTTTAAGGATGTGAAGTAGGTTATACAAATCAATTGTAATTATCAATTTTATTTAAGTCATTTACAAATCAGGTTTATAGGTAAGAATTAATAGCACAACGTTTTTAATTTGTTTATTTTCATTATATTTAAATTAACTTTACTATCGCTCTCAAGAACTGGCAAACCTGCAGGTTAGATATCTTGTTTCCGAAGTACATCTTGTGTATGGAGGTTAAGCCATGTGATCCCGGATTACATCATGTTTTTTGTATTTCTACAGTAGAAGAAAGTAGAATTTATGGAGTAAGTAAGTTACTGAGTTATAAAATTTATTGCAAATTGGTAAACCATCAGTGTGATACGCTAGAATATTATAAAATTTACTTAATTAGTTGTGGAACGTCGGTTTACCAGGACTCGGATAGTTAAAATAATTCATGTCTTATCAGATTTTCTAAACTTGGGATTCCAGATACACATATAGTAATTTTTACATGGCGTTTATCCACTTATTCACAATATAATGATCATTGTGTAGTCATATTTTCCCGAGAATTTGTCAAAATGGTATTTTGATAATTATGTAACAGTAAAACGGAAGACAGGCGTTGAGTCATGTAATAAAACACCATCAAGGTTGTACTTTAATTTTCTCATATTGCGTGGGTTGTATACTTCAACATAATGTCGTGGGAACTAAATAAATAAAATGGTTATGTTTAGATCACATAAAAACCCATGACGTTTCCTTCTTCCAGTAAGAGTCTTAACAAAATGGTGGGCTGTTTTCACACACACACACAAAAAGAAGTCATTCTGAAAGAGTCCTTAAAAGTTGATTGTATTAATGTCTTAATTACAATTTAGATACTTGAGGCTTGGAGACGAATCTTGTTTAATTGATTTGTAGTTTTGTGACCGAATTTTAAACTGTATATGATATTTCAGTTAATAGTTTAAACAATAATTTTACTAAATCGATCAGCATCACTACTTATAAAATAGGCCCGGCATGGCCAGGTGGTTAGGGCGCTCGACTCACAATCTGAGGGTCGTGGGTTCTAATC